AGCTCTTTGAGCGTTTTTGGCCTCCCTGTTTTGCCGCCGTGATGTGCGGGAAAAATATCTGACTTGCTTTTACCGCCAGCTCCTCCTCCGTCATTTTCAGGCGAAGCGCAAGGTTCTGTGCTGCGTTCCGGCTCTTGCGTTTGTTCTTGTTCATCCCCCTGTAAGTCCGCCAGGCCTTTCCGAGTCCGGTACGTGCGTTGAATGATGCGCAGTGGCTTCTCCATTTATGCCGGCATAGCTCTTTGGAGTATTTCATAGCCATGACAGTCGCTTTGTTGAGCTTGATCTTATGCGCCGTCGCCCTGCTTCTCCTGAATCTTGTTAACGCTTGTAGTCTACAGGCCCATAGGTTCAGAAGGTGGGTGTCCGGTGTCGGATCGCCTTGTTTGACATTAACGTGGGTTCTTGCCTCCTTCATCGCCTTGCAGATGCTTTCCTCGATGTCTTCGTGCCGCTCCAGGCTGCTTAGAATTAGCTCCCGGAATCCGTCCCATTTTATGATCGGTCGAAGCTCCTTATCTTTCCGCCCACTTGGGTGTGTGACTGTGACTTCGATGGGGTAGTGGTCGCTGCCCTGTGTGTCCCCCCTTGGTGTCCATCGGGTGTCAAGGCGCTTTGTGGCCCGCGTGAGATCTGGTGTAGTGTCCTTCTGGCGTTGTTGTTTGGCTAGTCGCGTCTTGACCCCTTGTTCATTGCGGAGTTCAAGCCCAGCTGTTTGCATGGCTGCGATAATGTCTCGGCCTTTCTTTGTGTTGGTGTCGTATCCCCATTCGCGGTGTTGTGCATTAAAGTCCCCTCCGACAATCAGTGGGTATCCATCCGCCAGCTCGGATAGCTTTCGGATCCATTCTGCCGTCTCTCCATTTTTTAGGGTGGTATTGGGCTTTATGTAGACAGATGCCACCACCAGTTTGAGTTTACCTCGCTTTAGTCGGACAGCAACTACCTCCCTCTTGTCCGAGCAGAGTGCAGTTGTGTCTAGCTGCGTCTGTGGTATGTTTTGGAGTACGCAAACTGCCACCCATCCTTTCTTTTCAATGGGAATCTTCTCCCTGCAGCTTGGCTTAGATTTGATGGTCGGAGTTAGGTAAACGCTGAAGCCGGTGATTGACATGTCCGGTGTTTTAGTCTCCTGCAGCAGCAGAATTTCTGGTGGCGCATTTCTTTCGAAGCGGAGCTTGAGCTTTGCTGCTCTTGCCGAGAACGTGTTGCAATTCCACTGTAGGATCCGTGTCGGTGCCATCTTGGTCTGTCCGGGTTCGTTAGTTCTATCTGCTATGCTTGAGTTCAGCAATTTCCTTTTTAATCTCTCCGAGTACTTGGAATACCATATTAAATCCCATTTCCACGTCTTTCTCGAATATGGCTATTTTGGATTCTTGCTTCTCGAACCTTGCTTCGAGTGCTTGTACTTCCTTCCTCCAGTCTGGTAGTTCGGTGGACTTAGCCTTCGTGCGCTGGGCCCATTCTGGGATCCAGTTTGGGGCTACCATCTTCTCATTGGAGTCAACTGTTGGCTTTCCTGGGTTGGGAGGAATTCGAATGACCTCCTGCTCTGTGTTTTGTGGGCCGCGAAGTTGTGCCTGTGAGGTGGCAGTTGCTTTGGCTGCTGCCGCCTAACTTTCTCTCAGTAGCTTCAGCTGTGGTGGCTTTGCGGGCTTCTTCTTTTCTGAGATCTTCCTCTTAGAACAATTGTTGCTGGTTGCCACGTGGGCCCCACCGCAGTTCTTACACTGTGGATCCCTTGTGCACTCCTCCATCTCTTCTTCGTGGATGTGCCCGCATTGGTCGCATCTGCTCTCTTTGCTTGGGCATACGTCCGTTTTGTGCCCAATGTTGTGACAATTGAAGCAGACTATTGGTCTTGGACGGTACGGTTTCACGGTGAACACTTCGCGGCAGAACATGACTTTCGCTGGCAGCCAAGTTCCCTCAAAAGTGATCACCACAGCGTTGCCTTTCTTGCCCATAAGGCGGGCGTAGACTACTTTGGCCGTTCTGCATTCCAAATCCGGTAGTAGCGTTTCGGGTGTCTCGTCGCTGTTATCACCGTGCAAGTAGATGACACCGCATACTTGGTCGTTCCCCATTGCCTTGTATGGGCTTAAGGCGTACGAGTCTTCGCCTTTCGTGATCTCAGTGACTTCTAGGAGATTTTGGATTATCTCTTCGTTCCGCGTTTTTAGCGCAATGGTGTTCGTCTTCGGCTGAATTTGAATTTTGTAGTCATCACGACTGGCGATTCCCGTCTTTTCCACCGCTGTTTTTGTATCTCGGGTCTTGAAGTCCTTGACATTCTTTTTGCATATCGCTTTTAGTACCACTGTCTGGGTTGACGTGGGAGTTTCCCGCCTATCTTCCTCAGATGATGTTCTCGGTTTTTGGACTGTCGATCACCGGCGTTTTCGTCGGCGTTTACTTATATACATTTCAAACCCTTCGTCTTCGGGGTTCTCCTCCACGGGGCGGTTCCTAAGCTGTTAGGCTTAGCTTGTCGTTCTTCTGAAGTTGGATTTTCTGGTTTATGTAATTTCTGTAGTGGTGGAAATTGGGAAGTATCTTGAAAACTCACCTCTTCGGATTCCATGGCGTCCCTTTGCTGGCTTGCCATCCAGCCTGGGGTCAACGTCCCTTGTATGTAGCTGTGCAAGAGTGTGGTTATTAATTTGCCGATATCCTTTTTGGTGATTCCCAATTTTCCGAGGAGTCCAGCGTCAAGCTCGATGGCTGTGGTCCTGGGGGGTTCAAGCTGCTGCTGCTGCGCTTTTACTTCGGCTTGTTGACCGCGCGTTCCCGAAGTCAGGGCTGCTGCGGTGTCCATCTTTTCTGGCTCCAAACTCGTCGAAATGACCCCGTCGGTTACGAAATTAGCGGGCGGAGCGTCGTCGAAGGTCCTGGGTGATTCACGACACCTTCATAAACGTGGCGCTGTTTTGGGGGGTGTCGGGACCCCCTAACGATGCCACGGAGCGTCCAGGTTTGATCTTCAAGGTAGTTGGAAGTCCAAAAGCTATGGAAAGCGCCAAACATAGAAAATTATCAGGAGCCGAAAATTCCGTGTTCCTTTGCCAGGGCACTTCGTCGTCGTCCTCTCTGCGGTACGCGGAACACGGCAACGGTTTGCTACAAGTCCCTCTTATAAACTACTTTCTCGGACCGTCAGTGTTGCACGCCTCTTGCACGAGTAGAAAATTTAGCGCGCCCCCGCGCTTACCACGAACTTGGTATCTTTCCAGAATATGATTAAGTTATTGGGTTTTCATGACGCTCAGCAAGTTTCTCATTGGAACCATGCACTTATTTTTACTAATTAAAAAGGCCATTAACAATGTTGAATGAAATATTCAACTTATCGTGACGATCAGCCCCCTGTAATATGTCTTCTTGGCCGTATAAGGCACCTGTATTAGATATTGAAGACATTTCTTGCTAAATGTGGATACGCGCCCGACTACACATCTCACAGGAAAAGAAGACCAAGGAGCACGTGCTAAGTAGAAGAAAAAAAGAGGCTACCGGCGCGAGCAGAGCCCAGTTGGAACCGTTGGTCGATACAACATCAACCTTCAAAAGCCCTTCCTATGTCTAGACTGTGGATACGTTGTATAAACCTTTTTTGTAAACCGGAGTAATCTAAATTATCGAATATTTTGATGCCGAAACCTGGTACTCCAGCGACAATACGAGATCAGCGAACAACGAACATGGAGCGGCTCCAGACGAATAGGTTGGTGACGCGAGCCGAAATTGAACATCTAAACGAGGAGATCCAAGCGGCGGTGTCAATTGAGGACTTCAGGTCTCATAACGAAGAACGTCTCGCAGAAATAACGGACGAGCTGGATGCCCTGGCAAGAGAACTCCAGGAGCAAGATGCGCTCACCGAGGTCCACGTAAAGAGCGAGAACCTCGCCGAAGAATACAGGGCCGTCAGGGAGACACAAAGTGTGATCACCCGAATGCGGACACGTCTTCGACGCATAGAAACAAGGACATCGTCATCTATCGAGAGCAGGGTCGCCGAGACCACAGAACGATCGACCACTCAAACCCAGAGCCGAGCTGGACAGTTTAAACTTCCAAAGCTCGAACTCCAACGGTTTGATGGAGAGAAGTTGAATTGGCTTCCCTTCTGGGAGCAGTTCCGACAGGCGATCCATGACAACATCGAGCTCTCCGGCGTGGAGAAGTTTCTACACTTGCGGACGGTGCTGACGGGCAAGGCGGCGGCGGCGGTAAGCGGCATTCAAGCAACGGAGAGCAGCTACGCTTATGCCGTGGAGCTTCTAATGGAGAGATTCGGAAAAAAAGGTGTCCTTGTTCAAGAACACCTCACGCAGCTGCTGAACCTGCCAAAAGTGAAGGCGCTGAGTGACGGCGGAGCCCTCCGTCGTTTACACGATCACGTTCATGGCAACATCGCTTCGCTGAGGACTTTGGGCATCGACTCTGACAGCTACGGGGCGATGCTGTGTGCTGCGTTGTTCTGCGTCCTGCCCACTGACTGGGCCGTGGACTTCTATAAGAGTCAGAGTACTAGTAATGAAACACCGGAAAGCTAAAATCTTGAGGCTGTCCTGCGATCGATGCGTGTAGAGCTGGATAGCAGAGAGAAGGTATACGACGACAGTACACGGGACCAACCGCAACCTCTGAAAATACACGGCGACGAAGATCGATCAAGCGACAACCTCCGAGAAAAGGGGTCTGCTGCTTCCCTCGTAGTTGGTGCCAAACCCTCAAACGACAAGTGCCCTCTTTGTTCCTCCGAATTACATGAAGCGCCGCAATGTAACTCTGCGATTCCGATCGAAGAAAAGAAGAGACAGCTAAGGGGCGAAGGGAGGTGTTACAGATGCGCGAAGCGAGGACACACCTCAAAAGAATGTCGAAATCGGTTCCTTCACTGTGAAAAAGGTGGCCGACGCCACATCACTCCACTTTGTGGTACGCCACCTCCGTCTCATCAAGGAGCGACCGCCGCTACCGAGCTGCACTCCATGGCGTCTTTGAATGCCATCAACAAGAACGCCGTAATGTTACAAACGGCTCAAGTATGGATAGACGGACGGGACCGGGAGCGTCTTGCTCGCTGTCTGTTTGACGGAGGCAGCCAACGTTCATTCGTCACCGAGCAGCTCTCGCGAGAGCTGAAGTTGGAAGTGATCGGCGAGGAGGAGGTGACCATCTATTCGTTTGGCAGAACAGCCGGTGGAACTACGAGGAAACTTCGGCTAGTGCGACTTTGGTTGCGAAGCCAATACAGCCGCAAAGAACACTGCTTGGAAGCCCTTGAAATAGAAAACATCTGTTCTGACCAGTTGGTCCTTCCAGACAACGTGGTTGACCTTGCTGGCGTGGGAGAGCTAGAATTAGCCGATGTAACCTTTCCACCCTTCCTTAATTCCAAGCGGAATATTGAAATCCTAGTGGGAGCAGATCAATATTGGAATATGGTGAGCGGGGAAGTCCGCAAGATACACGGATCCTTGGTCGCGCTGAAGACGGACTTTGGCTGGACACTGCAGGGCCCAGTTCCTGAGGTTGCTTCTGTGCTGTCCTGCACTACTGTGGCCGTCTTGAACACTGGCGTCGCAAAACCGACCTTGAGCCTCTCAAACGAACTTCGAGCCTTCTGTGAGTTAGAGAGCCTCGGAATCTTTGTGAACGACTCTCCGCGCGGAAAAGAGGAAGAACAAGTAAGAGAAGATTTCACTTCCTCCCTAGCTCTGGTCATGGGCCGTTATAAGGCAAACCTCCCGTGGAAGCCCCTAAATCGACCCCTAGAGAACAACGAAGCCGTTGCGCTACAGCGTCTGGACAAGTTGGTTCGGCGTTTAAGAGGCAACACCGAAAGACTGACGCAGTACGACTCAGCGATCCGTAGCTACCTGAAAGAAGGCTTTGCTGAAAAAGTGCCAGCAGGCGAGGTGGACACCACTTGGAAACGAGTTTACTGCACGCCTCATCGTGCTGTTTGTAGACATGACAGTTCTACGACTAAGATGCGCATTGTGTTTGACGCGTCTGCAAAGGCACCGGGCTGTCTGTCCCTCAACGATGCATTGTCTACGGGCCCAAGCCTCAATCCGGACAAATTACAGCTGATCATGAACTTCCGACGTCCTGCGATTGCCTTCACCGCAGAAATTGAGAAGGCCTTCTTACAGATTCTGATCAAGCAGGAGGATCGTGATGCCCTTCGCTTTTTGTGGTGCGCACTTTCCCCTACAGAAGACCTCACAAGTTCGGAGATTGAAGCATGGCGCATGACGCGTGTCCCATTTGGTGTAACGAGCAGCCTTTTTATGCTGGCAGCGATTATTAAGCACCACCTGGCCAACGTCTCAGACGGCTTGTCTGAGACTGCAAAAGTACTGGACGAATGCCTTTACATGAACGACTTGATTGCTGGCACTGAAACGCTTGAAGAAGCAACAAACTTCTACAGGGAAGCCCAGCAAATATTGAGCTCAGCAGGAATGAAGCTGAGGATGTGTAGTTCCAACAGCGAGTCATTGCAACAACGTTTTGACGAAGATGGGGTTGGAAGCCTCTCCTGTGATACTTCCACACCGAGGTCAGGTGTGACGCGGGTTTTGGGACTTGAGTGGAATAGAGAGAGGGACGAGCTCAAGTACTCTTTAAGCTCGTTAGAGCTTCTGACAATCAATCGTGACATAAAATGCTTTGTACTGCAAGTATAAGCGAGAATTTTCGACCCCTCGGCCTCCTCAGCGCAGTGACGATAACAGCCGAGATGTTATTTACTCCGCTACCTTCAAGCGTAAGTCTGAGATGGAGCAGCTGGATAAAGGCTCTGCATCATCTCGAGGACATTTCGATTCCTCGTCGCTATGCTGCATACGGCGGTCGAACTGAGCTGAATGTCTTCACGGACGCTAGCCCCCAGGCCTATGGGACAGTCGCGTATCTGCGTAGTGACAGTGATAACCGGACGACAGTGACCCTCGTTATGGCCAAGACGCGCGTTGCGCCAGTAAAGACTTTGACTCTACCAAGACTGGAACTGATGGGAGCGTTACTGGGTGCTCGACTATGTGCCTACTTTAAGGGAGTTTTTAAGTCGGATCTCTCAGAAGTGACGCTGTGGACAGACTCTATGATTGCTCTACACTGAGTAAAGGGCCTGGCTACTCAGTGGAAACCATTCGTGGCCAACCGGGCTACGGAGATTCAACAGAGGACAAAGCCCAGCAACTGGAAACACTGTCCTGGAGCTGAGAACCCGGCGGATTTACTAGCCCGGGGTGTCCCTCCGGACTGTCTACAAAAGTGTGAACTATGGTGGAAAGGACGAAAGTGGCTGGCCGAGTCACCTACATGTTGGCCTACTATGCCCACTGATACCCAAGATACTGCAGCCAAGGAACAAAGAAGAACTTCAGAACCAACGGTGAGCCATACTGCCACGAGCTCCTGCATGCCTGTGGTAAACATCGGACAGTTTGGGGAGTTGAATCGCCTAAAACGGGTCACTGCTTGGGTGCTACGTCTTGTCAATAATTGTAGACACACCAAAAAGAATCTCCAGGGTCCACTCAAAATTGAAGAGATAGGGGAGGCACGTCTTAAGTTGCTCCGTCAAGTTCAAAGGGAAGCCTTTGAGGATGAGGTAAACCAACTAGAACGAGGCGAACAGTGCAGTGGCTCGTCAGATCTGCGCACTCTGAATGTATTTATAGATGACAGAGGGTTGCTGCGACTGAGAGGACGCCTACAACATTCAGACCTCGGTTATTAGACGGCACATCTTGTCGTTTTGCCTTCAACGCACCACTTTGTGGAACTGCTGATCATTAGCACACATCGACGGCTGCTACATGCAGGGTGCATGGACACTCTAACTCATCTGCGCGAGACGTTCTGGATTATACAAGCCCGACAAGTAGTCAAGAAGGCCTTGAGACGTTGTCTTGTCTGCAGAAGGATGAGCAACGAGAGTCCGACTTCCACGCCGCTTCCACGACTTCGAGTGTTGGAGGCGGACCCTTTTCCAGTCACGGGACTCGACTTCGCCGGACCTGTCCTCACCAAGGACGAAGGAACGATAAAGAGATCATACATTCTGCTACTGACCTGCGCAATCACTACAGCAATACATCTGGAGGTGGTGAGCGACTTGTCTACAGGTAGTTTCCTTTTGGCATTTCGTCGCTTTCTGGCCCGGCGCGGACTATGCCACACGATCTACTCTGATAATGCACAGACTTTCCACCGAGCGTCTGCTGAATTCAAAAAGATATGGAAAACAATGAGAGAACAGGAGTCACTCAACTACCTGTCCAGTCAAGGCATCAACTGGAAATTCATCGCTCCACGAGCGGCTTGGTGGGGCGGGTTTTGGGAGTGATTGGTTCGATCAGTTAAGACCCCTCTGAAAAAGGTTCTGGGGTGCAGTTACGTAACCTATGAAGAGCTGAGCACCATATTGACGGAGATAGAGGTTGTGATTAATTCTCGACCTTTGACCTCCATCTCCTCTGACCCGGACGAACCAGAACCATTGACACCCGCACATTTCCTTGTCGGTAAACGACTGACTTCCTCGCCAACTCGAGAAGGAGAGCCAGTGTTGTCATCAGCCAACGATCTAACTCGCCGTTGGAAGTACCGTGAGACGCTATCGACCACACTATGGAAGCGCTGGCGCCAGGAATATCTCTGTACTTTAAGGTCATTTCATCACAGCAGACCGGCAGCCTCGAGTAATTTACGGGTGAATGACTTGGTGCTACTGCACGACGACTTCCATCCGCGACAAACCTGGAAAACTGGCCGCGTCGTGCAAGTGTTCCCGGGACGAGACGGCCACGTCTGATCCTGCGTGGTCCGCTTGTCAGGAGGAACAACCATTAGACGTCCCATTCAACTGTTACATCAACTGGAAGCTCATAACGAATGAGCAATGCTCATTCGGCGGGGAGGATATTAAATATTGAGGACATTTCTTGCTAAATGTGGATACGCGCCCGACTACCCATCTCACAGGAAAAGAAGACCAAGGAACATGTGCTAAGTAGAAGAAAAAAAGAGGCTACCGGCGCGAGCAGAGCCTAGTTGGAACCGTTGGTCGATGCAACATCAACCTTCAAGAAAGAGCCCTCCCTATGCCTAGACTGGAAATACGTTGTATAAATCCTTTTTGTAAACTGGAGTATTCTAAATTATCGAATAGCCTGCACAGAGCGCACTAGGCGAGGGTCACAGTGCTCATACACCATACAATATACAGTCTGCAACAGTGTTGGACAAAATACTCAAAGTATTTAAGTTAAATTACAAAATAGCTGCTTCATAAAGTATTTAAAATACTACTCAAGTTACTTTCACTGTAAAGTATCTTGAGTAGAGTACAAATACTTAAAGACGTAATTCAATTACTTTTCAAGATACCTCCGCATTGCGTAATTTGTAGTGACGTCAGTGACAAACACACTTATACAGCTGCGCAAATCTGGTTTAGCAGAATGGCTTATTGGCGACTCCAGTGAAATCGACGCCGTGTAGCGGCAACGCCGAGAAGCTCAAGAGAGGAAGTCGCTTCGAATCTGTCGTCTGCTACCGCTGCTTGGTTCTCGTAGGCAGCATAGAAACAAACATCGTCTCCAGTATTTATCTTTATGCTTTCGACGTATCATTCCTACGCACTGAGTGAAAAGGTTGGTTTCTACCGTCGAGAAATCGCTTTGCTTTCATATGTAACACCGATTTTACGCTGCAGTGCAAGGAATTTATGGTGGTCCGCGTGCGGAAAGATGAAAACGACCTCCTTTCGTCCGCCATTTTGCATGACCAGAGCACTCCCCTAGCTCGCTGGAGTCCCGAATAGCACGCAACCCAATTTTTAATAAAACTTCACTTACGAAAAAGCGTCTGTCTGTCGTTCGTTACCTCTCTTTTTCGTCCTTGTTTTTTTTTTTTTTTTTTTGCGCGTTTTCTTTTTTATTTTGATTAGCACGCAACAGCACAAAACGGAAAAAAAGAACATTGTAGGGCTATTTTATGCAGTCCAGCTATGGGGAAGGAGATCAGACCGTGGCGCCCCAAGCGGTTAACTTTAGAACTACACGGATGGGGACAACAAATACTCTAACTCGGAGCTCGGCTGACATAGCCGAGCGTGACGTCAGCGTTCGACTGGAGTTCGTGTTCTCCGGTGAGGGAAAGGAGAACTCATTTGTTTCCACTTCGGCCTGCATGAACAATGCAGCATGCATGGTGCATATGCCCAGCTCAGCACAAAAGCAGAAGTGGGTCAAGCTCGCATTCTCTGACGACTGCTTTCGGGAAAGATCCGGCACTCAACGCCACTTCGTTTATTGTTAGTATTTTTGCATTGCACTGTACTACAATCCATATTTCCTATATGGGGAGTTCACTATAAACGAACATGGGATACGCAAATCAGTGAATTGATAACAAAGAAACCCATATAATAGCCACAGCACTGGTTGCACGTTCTTCAAGTAGGTTGTGTTCAGAAAGGCACTCAACGTTGGGAGACGCTTTGTTGGTATTTTGAGAGGTGATCCTGCTCGTAGTTCGTTTCCTATTCTGTTTTCTGCTTATCAATGTTCTCGAGAACGATAAATGCCAAACTGACGACAAAAGAATAAAAATATTCTCGACGTTTCGTTGCGACAAAACGTCACTGCAGCAAGCAAAAAAAAAAAAAAAAGCGTATTCTTTTTGCATCCACTTTTCATTTTCTTCTATTTGTTATTTTCTTGACACTGAAGTCTGCATTGTTGTCGTGGGTCGTTTCCCGTTCCGCGTTGCGTCTCAGTGTGGTAATCTTTGCATCCGTAAAACCACTACGTTTGTTTGAAGATTTTTTGGGGGGAAACTCTAGGAAACATAAGGCGCCTTTGGGAAGGCGAGGGGAAAACCTTCATTGTACGTCCTTTGGGGTGAAATATGAGTCACAATAGGCACAAAAGCGACGTTTTCACGAGTTCAGTCTGAGTCACCGTAACTTATCGGGGCTAGCAACAGGATTTGGTTGCTCGAAAGAATGTTCACATTTGCTCGTGCCACGCCCACGGCCCTTCATACCGAAAAACTCGGAAAATGGCGGAATGTCAAAAATGTATTTGAGATAATAGACAGTTTTAGTATAGCATTGCTGGATCTTACGTACGCAACACGCAATAGTATAGCGTACGCTAAAAATGACCTGCTGGGACCGAATTTAGTTGTGCGCTACGTTTTCGAGTGAACACCGCGCATGATCTTGGTTAACTTTGCTAGAGCCGTAGAATTCCGCGTGCTTATAGCGCAACCATGCTCCTGGAAAGAAATATTGAAAAAGAAAAAGCTTCCAAACATTTTATTTCAGATTAAACCAAGCCACGGCTGCCTCGTCAAGCGCGCTTTTCTGCGGGGTACAGAGGCTACGAGTACGAGTGCGTAGAAAAATTCGATCACGGAGCCTCCCTCAGTCGTCCCGTGGAAACGGCACCTTTTATCACTGCTATCGCGAAATGAAATTCATGACCTACTGATGTCCAGTGCATAGCGAGAACTTCGGCGATTTCTTTTCGAGTCGTTCGTGCGTCGGCGATGAACTGTGGGAATAGGCTTAGCGTTGAGCAGATCGCAGCGTCGACGCACACTGCGAGCGGCGATCATTTCCACTGTGCAGTCCTTCAGCTGCACGGCGATCTGATTCGACCGCGGTAGGTCCCAGAAAGAATCGCCGAGCTGAACACCACGCGATTTCACATAACACAGAACTTCGAAAACACCACGTCGCCCTTGCTGCGCCAGTCGAGGCAACCGCCATTTTGAAACTGGCGCTCTCGTTGGGTCGGAGATCTCTCGAGAGCGTCCCGCAAGGCCCGCTAGCCAGCGACGCC